ACAAAGTGCAGAGAAAACTCCTTAATCTGTAGTCTACACAAATTCTATGAGCCAGACTATGGTAGGAGCTCTTTATGCACTCTGTTCACAGCAAAACTGAAAATGGGCATTCACAGACTGAGAACTAACAAAGACCAGTCATTCACTGATTTGGTTTCTGTACAGCATACTGCCTTCAAAACACATTTTTGGAACCAGGAAAGGCCTGTATCAGTGACTAGTTTTAGAAAGACCTTTCCCTCTCATACACTTTATATCATTACTGAACGGCAGACAGTGATCAGCATAATCAGCTACTGTGATTGCCTGAGTTCTTGCATTGTTGTTTGTAGTAAAGAAACTCAGTATTTCAGTTTGACCAGCTTCCCTCTTCTGTGCTCAAGCTGTTTGTTACAGTAAAGCCCAGCCAACGGTGGGCTTCATGTCACACAGAGTAGATCCTCTTCTGCCAATATTCTCTCCCAGTGCAGCCTTCCCCAGACAAAAAAAAAAAAAATTCTAAAAATCTACATCCTGGAGGGAGGGGAAAGAGAAAAGTAGATAGCAGCAAAACCCACTTAATCATAGAGAGGGGTTGAAATGTGACAGCAGTGTCCCAGAGGACTTGTACAGCAAGCCAAGAAACCCCCCCTACTAATGCTGGAGCAAACATTAAATCAATGACATTGGCCCCACACCCTGTGGTTTGCTAAAAATGGAGACCAGGCACATTTGTTGTTTCCAACTTACAGATCTCCAGTACAGAGGACAGTGCTGCAGATCACAGGCACAGCACAGAAGCACCTCGCTGTCTCCATGCCCTGCTCCCTCCACCGATAGGCAGAAAGGCTCTGGCACTGAAGACCTAGGAGGAGTAATGTACTCTCTAGTCACATCCACTTTGGTTGTTTTAAGTCACACTTGCCTAGGCTACAGAAGTTTTTATCAAATCCTTATGCCTGCTGTCACTAAAATAGTCTGCACTCTTTATCTAGAAGAAAAAAAATACATCCTTACAATCTATTGGCCACAATTTTTGTGGAGATCTAGGTTCTACTTTGATCCTCAATGCATGGCATTGTTTTTATCCAGTCATCTGATTTGGGTACTACTCAAATACTTAATTAAAACTTAATGTTTAATGAGTCCATATTTTGCTAAATTTACAAAGGTCAGGGACAACAGGATTTTTTGTGGAATGGGAAATAATATGAAGAAGTCTTTCTATAATGTAACAGCAATTCCTACAGAAACATTGACAAATCTTCTGGCAGTTCATATGGTATACACAGGATTTGCTATGTTCACATCTATTCCCAACTAAAAGCTACCATTGTTAAGCAAAGAACTTAAATGTAATGATCAAGACCTGTACCAGATTAAATTCAGGAAAAATTGTTAAAAGCCACAAATAGGAGTTGGAACTATGTTCCCCTATCCAAGAAAAATTACTTTGATGAGGCAATTTAGTCCAACCTGGAAATTCCAGTTTACTCAATCATGAGATAATGTCTGCTTGTTTGATTGTTCTGAAAGGTTTCAGCTAATTCCACAAGCATTGTCATGAAATTAGCAAAGGAAAACATCAGTTTAATTACTGTTGTCCTCCAAATTCAGGACAGTCCATTTGGGAGACCACAATTCTTCTTTATGGCAACTTCAGATGAGACTGAGACAGCATATTTTTTTTCACAGAATAGGGTTAATGCTGAAACGTCCATTTCCTCTTTGAAAAAGGCTAAAAACCTGAGACTGACAAAACACTCCAGACCACAAATGCCTTCCCAACAAAACCATAATTTGAATAGATAAAGTCTCCATGAAATATTTAGTTGCGCTCTTCTGACCAACTGCTAACCACACTTCAGTTTCAGAAATTCACTCTGGGCTGTCTGTGGTCAACATGCAGGCCCAGGATACTGTCCATCTCCACTTCACCAGCCCCCTGGATATCTGCAAACCCTTTATAATGGGGTTCCACAATTGTAGGCAGTAGTTACGTAGGATCCAATCAATAGATAGTCCCTGCAGCCTTGCCAACATATAATAAAGCATGCATAAAAGGACAAAGGAAGAAAAGAAAACAAGAAATGAAGCTAATTTCTTCAGGGTGTAGGCTTTTCTTCCAATGAATTCTATGCTTTAATGGATATACATGCAGTGGCTTGTATGCACCCATGAGGTCATTCTTCTGGTTGTTTGCATGACAAAGGTAGTGTGCACAATTCGGGAAGGATTTATCTATGACTTCTGTACAAAAAGCAGGTGAAAAAAACACTCTTGGACTAGATGCAAAAAAATGTGTATAGTCAACTTGTATCTAGACCATCAGACTCAGAAATGATGAGGGCAAAGAGCATGATAAATGGCTATCAGCAAGGTTTGGTTCATAATTTAATTACACAATAGAAGTTAAGCGAATCTTGTACACCTCCAACACAGCTAGTGATATGCTTCAGGTTAAACACAGTTATCTAGAGAGGCCTCAGGTCAAAACAAACACCACAGCATCTAACCTCTTTTGAAAGAATCGTTTAAGCCAAACAGGAAAATCAGTTTTGTACCAGTGCAGTTTGTGAGCCAGGACAGAATGTTACAGGACAGCTTCAAATACTAGTGGACTCTCAGGGGGAAAAATTAAAAAGACAAAAAACAAAACAAAACAAAGCACAAATAAATCAAAAAAACTTCAAACCACCCAAACTGGCAGGATTTTACAGCACTGTATTTTAAGAAGGAAAAAAAAAAAATATTTAAAAACTGTACAACATACAATGGCCAGGGAAGAGGACAAGATAAGATACATTGTAGCTTGGATATATCTTTTAAACCACTATCTTTAGATAAAATAGGTGGCTGTGAATACTCTACTATCCAGCCCAGGGTAATAGTTCTGAATTGTTAGACAGATGCCTTTCAAAAACTTGCAAATTCTTCTCCCAGTCTGTCAGTCTGAATCAGCCTGCAGGCATAGAGTAAGTGGGATGACTCCTGGCACTTCAAGATACTAAAAACTCTACTCAGGAACAATCAATCTTGCCCATCTCAGCCAACAAACAACACAACTGAAGGTTAAGACTATGATAGCTGTATGGCATGTCTGCCAGATTGGTATGGCTTTAATTTGTTAAGGCTCAATTAATTAGGGTAACGTATAATGTTGGTGTGGGGAAAAAAAAAAAAAAAAAAAAAGCACCACAACAACCACAGCAACAACAAAGAAAAAAATCACAGGAATTAAGTAATTCAAATGCAAGTATCTGTGTAAGTGCTTTAAGTTATTTCATGAGAAACAGCCAATAAAAGCAAGTTTCATTTCCAGGAAGCAACGAGGGATCTGAGCCAGGTTTGCCATTTCACTTTTTGCTTGCTTTGCTGGAATTAAAACTTGCACTTTTAATATGTTTAGTTTGTAAACCTAACTTTGACGTTTCCAGTTTAGTGGACTTTGAGCAATTGTTATGTTATGAAAGATGAAGGGTACCTATCCAATGTGCTGGGTTTCATGCCAGAAATTACAAAAACAAGATCAACCACAGAATACTGAATTCCCTTCTCACCCACAGCAGGGATTTCTTTCATAAGTTTACCTCAGAACAGGAGAGCGCCTCATGGCTAGGCCTTGTCTGAGGTTTTATTAAAGAACTTAAAAGGATCTTTTCAGCAGAATTCTTTCCCACATCACCACAATCCCAGACTGTGACATTTTGCAGAATTAGCAGCAGTGAAGTTGCTTCCACAACAAAAGCACTGCAATAGAAAGCCAGGTTTCCTGGCTTCTCTAATACCTTTCCAATTTCCTTTAGCTGCTGACACTTCTTCTAGTTTTGCAAGCAGAAGAAGATATAGTAGGATAGCTAATATTTTGATCTTGCATGCTCATTGGAGTACCGATTGCAGGAGTTCTCAAAGGTGGTAGTAACATGAGACATCTTCAGAGACTAAGGGGAGCTGGAGGCATGGGCTCCAACACTGCCTGTGTGAAACAATCCTAGTTTTAGATCTGGGGCCTTGTCCTGTGACATAGCAGGAATATTTCAGAAGAGTCCTTGTATCAGTGTATTCCGTTTTTTGTGCCTACAGCTGTATAGGATTTATTTTAAAAGAGTGGTTCCAAGGAGCATTACAGTCCCAATACTCAGTTTGGAATATATGATATGCTCTAAATACTGAATTTGACTTCGTGTTAGGAGTCTGCTGGTTTTCCTTAAGAGAAAAGAGGAAAGGGGCCAGGAAGCTAAGGAGTCACAGACATGAGCAGCATGATCTACAATTACATGCAATGCAAATCTCTTTCATAATCCTTCACCTGATCTGGCACACTACTATCAATCTAGCCATGAAGCACAAGGATGAGTGGTAACTGCATGGTGCAGTATTAAACTGTAGGGTTTGCTGCATTTTCTTCATGTCTTTTTCTAAAAATCGATTTCAAGTTAAGCAGCATTGATATACCACATCACAAACTGAAAACATGACCTATATTGACCCTCTCCCTAAACCATCATTCGTCTATTACATTTCTTCCACCATGAGGTTTTTGACAAAAAAAGGCAAAAAACCAATCAAAATACTAGCAGTGTTTTAGAAACAAACATGACCAAGGAGAGGCTGAAACATAAACACTGAGTTCTAGAAAGGTAAAAGGAATTTCACTTTCTGGGTTTGCTTTCCTGCATCACCAGTGTATAGCCAAACACATAAAATAACAAGTGTTTCACTGGAGGAAAAATCCAGTGGCTTTGATCTAACAAAGCCTGGCATTAAGATATTTAAAGTGGAACAACTTGGTGTATTATTCTTGACCTTCTGCTTCTGCACTTGTATTTTTTTTGAAAACCAGAATGTTAAAAACTCAAGTTTCCCCTCTAGCTTAGACATGTGATGAATATTTACTTTGCTGGCAACCAACTAGAGTCAATAATTACACAATGTATAAACAAATATATTTCCATTTGCAGGTTCCAACCTAATGAGGCACTTCTGATTACTTGATGAATCAATTAATATAACTTCCTTACCTGAAGGCCATCTGCTTGTCTCTGTGAGAAACAAGGGTTCAGATCAACGAAAAGCATTTCATGATGTTGAAGCAAATACAGCAGGAGGCCATTGTAAAGCCTTTGCTCTTCACAAGCCAAGGGACCAACAGGGATCCTAAGGGAAGAAGAGATGGATTAGGTTTAGGTCTCATATCAGGAGCTAATGATGCATCACACAGGGAGCCCCCAGTACACAAGATTATTTCAGCAAAGCAGCCAGCTGGGTGACTGGAAAAAATGGAGTTCCAGTCTCGTTTCCAACAAGCAATTGTTGGGACATATCCAACTTAAATTGGAGGGTTCACAACACTGGAAGCCTTACGGTGATGAAGCCCCAGTTTGCTGCAATGGTTCACAACACAATGAATCTTTGAGGCAGCACAGCAAAATAGCTAGAACCTGACAGGAACTCAGACATGAAGTTCATAAAATCAAGGATGAAGAAGACAATAAAAAGTCCCATAAATCTGCCATCATTCACTGTCATTGGGGCCGGGTGAGTGTGGTTTTGTTCTAGCTTAGTTTATGAAGGTGAACTTTGATGGCTACAATGTCTTATTACCAGAACTGCCTGGGAAAAAAACCAAACAAACAGACAAAAAAAAAAAAAAAAAAACAAAATAAAACAAAACAAAAATGTAGGTAAGAAACTGTTTCAGTGTAATAATTTATAAATTCACAGATATCAGGCACATCATGCAGCGGAACTTCTGGATGTTCCCATTAACAGGTTGGATTGTGTTGGGGTTTTTTCCTTTTTTTTTTTTTTTTTTTTAATAAATAGTAGTTAAGCTTGTACTATCCATGCAATTTGACTAAGTTGAAATCATTTCATTAAAGTCAAGGGATTCTTTATATGTAATTCTAATCTTGCTCCCTGAAGGAACTGCATATTCCCCTGTGAGCTATCGGGAAGCTTGGAGGACATTTACATAAATGTTGTCGCCTTAATCCAGCTTTCCCGGCCATGCTTTGCCGACTCAGTTCCACCCAGCACAATCTTAATATTTAAACAAGAAATTCATAAACTCTGGAGACTAATGTGGAGATATATACACACACCAGTCTTGTTTGCCAAATCAGTACATTCATTATTAATTTGTGATTTTAAAGTACAAATCTACACACTGGGCCCAGTCTGATTGCTTTCATTCACATTCTTCTTTTGTGAATTTACTTTTGTTTCTATAAGAACTTGTTTGGGCTCCCTTTGAAAGATGGCTTAAGCAGAGCTATAGCCAGGTACAACGTAGACAGACTTACAGGATAAACTACTGTGTCATCACTTCTTTCTTTAGGGTTGGCTAACATTTCTCCTTGGATTCCTGTTCTTCTCAGGACAGCCTCAGTTTCTCCACAAAAAACAAGCCTGCATGTAAAACCTGGTTGACCGAGCAACAACCTTTCTTACCATACAACAATCCTATGAGATTATTCATCACTTACCCAAACATTAACACCCTCAACTCACAGGCAATACAAGCAATCTTTTTAGTCCCTTACCTTCTTTTTCAGTTTCTTTCTTTAACTTAGGCATATGTTCCTGAATCCATCTCTATCAGCTGTTAACTCCTTACTAGCAAGGAACACTCCACAAATTGTTCATGAAGATAAAAAGCTCTCACCCTACTTATTGGGTCCCACTTTCCCTTACTAGCAGCCTAGGTACTGGGTGCCCAGTTCTCTTTTCATCTTAAAACAAATCTAAGTCCTACAGCTGACTCCAAATATAAATGCCTGCTCATCTGCAGATATTCACGGCTGGCAACAAATGTGTATTCCAAATATAGAAAATACATTTTTAGTTTTCTCTGCAGCCACCTTCCACAATGACTCTCAATTAATTTTATAAAATAATTGCTTCCTGCCTTCTCAAATACTTCTGCTGCTAGCAGAAACTATATTATCAGGCTGACAATAGGGGTGCCATGTTTCCATACTGCTGAATCCAGGAACATGCTCCTAGGAAGAGCACAGCTACTGAAGTATATTCTGCACTTCACCATAACAGCCCTGTAATCAGTCATAGTGCAAATCAAGAACAGGAGAACACTCACTACAAATAAGAAACAATTAAAACTTGATTATCAGGAAGCAGCTACTGGTTTCTTTGAGTCTAAACCTTTCAAAGTTGCTTTGCCACAAAGTGCAATCTAGAAAATCCATACAGTTCCTTGCCTTGACTTTGTTCAGGAGATCTGCCAAGGTTCCCAGCTGCCAGAGGCTTGCTGCAAATTTACAGAAAGAATGAGTCAAAGTGAGTAGAAGCAAACAGCTGGTTGGCTAGCATCTTTGTGCACTCATGCAAGAGTGAGTTACTGCAGTTAGTAGCAGAAATCTCTTTATCAAGATGAGGCATAACAAAGCACTTACAGAAATTTAAGGAACATCAGCTGAATCTCTGCTAAAAGCGAAGAAACACATTCTCTTTGGCATTTACAGAGACTAGCAGGACATGAAAGAGCTCACAAGAAGGATGAAAGGCAACAGAAATAAATAATTCGGAGGATGAGCAGGAAGAAATCAACGGTAGAAGTTGATGGAAGAGTGGAGCTTAGCAAAGAAAGTCTAGTGAGTAGCCAGCCTGGTACTTGACCTACGAACTATGTTTTCGGTTCCCTTACCTATGAGGAGGTGAGGATATGAAAGCTGAATCATGGAGATGTTAAAACTGAAGTCTAAAAAGGTAAGAAGCATCAAAAATCTAAAAGCAATGTGAAAGGTTCTGGTGAAGCATCTTAACAGCAGTGAAGATAGCCTAACTCAGTTTCACAGGCAAAAAATAGCATGAGGGAAGAAGGCCAGTAGAAGAAATCAGGAGCTGGTTTGCAAAGGAAACTAGGATCAAATAAAAACATTTTACTCAGTTATGCTTTTTCTGAAACATACCTTATTTTCTTATTCCCCTTTTGCATCTCATCACCCTGACCAGGGACAGGAAGCATATATACTAATAACATAACAGAATTCTTCCAATATGAAGATGATTTTAGTCAAATACTCAATATAAACAGCATTAAAGTAAGGGGTTGCAACAGATTAAAAATAGAGAAGAGACAGCTTATTTAACATTTAGTTTTCGCACAAACAGTAATATTAGTTTCCTAGCATTTAAAATTCACAGTAATAAGAGTTTTCTGTGACCCTGTAGCTAGACTTCCAATATAATACTTACGCTAAGGCTTATGTTTTCTCTGTTACAATTACCATAGTTACTAATTATGAAATGTATGTAATTTAGGCTTGCAAGATATAATAAGCAGAAAGTTTTATATTTTAATTTTGTGTCCCCAAGGCTCATATGCATTCTGTGTTCCAACTCAGCCACTTCAGTGAAACCATAAGCATGACAGGTCTCCACAAATAAAAGTGTCAACAGATTGAGACAGGTGATAATCATAGATAGAATTTACACTTGAATATAAATAGATCAAAAATTTAAAGTAAAAAGGCTTATAAACAGCCTAGTTTACTTGTTTAATGTCAAAGAAGGAGGACAGAACTGCTCAAAAATGCAGATTGCCAGAATACATGCAGAACAATTTTAATGCCTGCAAGGAATTAGTCCCACGAGTGGAGCTGACATTACATCCAGAAGACTATTTCTAACAATTGCATGAGGTATACATTTCTGCAGATTAGATGTAGAGTTTTTTCCCTAACCTTCAAGTTCTGATTGAACAACTATAGCAAATACTACACCCAATGTGTCTCACTTTCCGGTGAATCTACACTCTGGCTGCCGAAAGTTTCATAATGTTGTGGCTAATTGCACTAATCCTTGCTCTGAAAGACATAAAGGATATTTATGACTTTATTCCCTGTATCAGCAGATATGGTTTGACACATTAGACTACCTTGAATTCTGCTGATGTACAAGACAATACAAATGGTTTATTCTGATGAATTCAAGGCCTCGGGTGACGAAGCAGGAAGTGGTACAGCAAAATGCCAGTTGCAAGGCTCTCCTCTCCACCCTACCAAAACTTCCAAAAAGGTGATTTTTCTTAATCTTAGGAGGTAACTCTCCAAGGAAAGCACTAGTTACACGCTTCACAAAAGATGAGCTCCAGACTTACTGGTTTCTCTCCCGGAGCTGGTGAGATCAGAATGACTGTAAAAAGCTGGTGTTAAAGTTCACAGGGCGGATATACTTCTATTTATGGTAGCTGTGGTGTCTTGACAAGTCACTGGCAGAGAAACCCGGTGCTGATCGTTTTCAAGGCTTCTCGGACAGGTCATTGCCACAAGCACTTAGTTTAGCACTGGGTGTACTTTAAAAACCAGACACAGGGGCAGGGTCAGAAGTAACTGGACCATCCCTCAAAACAGAATGGGACGTTTAAAAACAGAAACAGCCCATCAATCAATAAGTGAGCCTATCTTATGTGTAGATAACAGAAATCAGTGGGCACATGTTCAGACAATCTGAGAACAGAGATAAAGGATTAGAATAAAAGTATTCCTGCATGTGTGTGCAGGCAGAAAAACTGATGTTGCTCAAGGGTCAGTGTTGGGACCAGCACTGTTTGACATCTTTTTTGGTGACACGGACAGTGGGATGGAGTGCACCCTCAGCAAGGTCACCGACGGCCCCGAGCTGTGTGGTGGGTGACACGCTGGAGGACAGGGATGCCATCCAGAGGGACCTGGACAGGCTGGAGAGGGGGCCCGGGCAAACCTCATGGAGTTCAACAAGGCCAAGGGCAAGGTCCTGCCCGTGGGTCGGGGCAATCCCCAGCACAAACCCAGGCTGGGCCCTCGAGGAGCGGCTGGAGAGCAGCCCCAAGGAGAGGGGCTTGGGGGGGTTGGTGGGGGGAAAACTGCCTGTGAGCCAGCCCCGTGCGCTCACAGCCCAGAACCCACCCGTGCCCTGGGCTGCAGCCAGAGCAGGGGGGCAGCAGGGCCAGGGAGGGGATTCTCCCCCTCTGCTCCGCTCTGGGGAGACCCCCCTGCAGTGCTGGGGCCAGCTCGGGGGCCCCCAACAGCAGAAGGACACGGAGCTGCTCGAGCGGGGCCAGAGGAGGCCACGAAGATGCTGGGGGGGCTGGAGCAGCTCCCCTGGGAGGCCGGGCTGAGAGAGTTGGGGGGTTCAGCCTGGAGAAGAGAAGGCTCCGGGGAGACCTTCGAGCGGCCTCCCAGGGCTTAAAGGGGGGGACAGGAAAGGTGGGGAGGGACTCTTTATCGGGGAGTTTAGTGATAGGATGAGGGGTAACAGTTTTAAGCTGAAAGAGGGCAGATTTAGATTAGATATAAGGAATAAATTCTTCCCTGTGCGGGCGGTGAGACACTGGCCCAGGGTGCCCAGAGAAGCTGTGGCTGCCCCCTCCCTGGAAGGGTTCAAGGCCAGGTTGGACGGGGCTGGGAACACCCTGGGCTGGGGGAAGGGGTCCCTGCCCATGGTAGGGGGGGTTGGGACTAGATGACCTTTAAAGGTCCCTTCCAACCCAAATCATTCTACAATTCTATGCACAGAAGCCCCATGTGATAGTGAAGGGAGCCTGATGGCAGAAGAGTGATTGATGAGTTAGTATGAGGGTCAAGGCATAGATTTTTGGTGAAGGCTTTTTGGCATCAGTTTTCACCTGTTTATAATTATCACTACACAACTAATCCAGACACTAGGAAGTAAACCTCATCTGTCTACACTAATTTACTAATTTTAACATGCAGACAGGAAGGAACTTGGGGTTTGGTTGCAGAAGTGCTTTGTTCCATCACTGAATATCCTCCATGGTAAAGCCTATTCTCACAGGAGTAAATATCATAGCTCCTACCACACTATATGTTGTTATACTCTTCTCCCTAGCTGTACTTTTGATTAAGTAAGAGTCTTTTTACTTATATCACGTGCAAAGGTTATATGCTGGCACATCTGGGGATAAGCCCATAGAGCAGGTAGACACACACAAACACAGAGACCTATGGAAAGAGCAGCAAGATTTGAGTGCAGTTCCCCAAAATAATGCCTGTCATGGATTTCTAATATGCTTTGTACCAATTGTGCCGAATAGATCTTTTTAATAACTTACTTGGCTTGCCATACAAAAAAAGTGAAAAATAGCAAGGCTTTTTTTACTGCATAGAAAATACTAATTGTTAACATATAAATTTTGCAAAGTGGCATTGGCTGATAGTTCACATTAAGCTGGAACAGCCATGATCCACTAAAACAAAGCTTTACAAATTTTAGGACAGGTATAAACATTTTAACATCCTCTAGTGTCAACATGAAGGATGGGATGAAAAACTAAATTGTTCTAGCTTCAATGGAAAATCCTCCATTATCAGATCACTCTAGGCTCTTCCTTCTCACCACCTGCACTTGCATGACACATGCCCTCCCACCTTTTTTTTTTTAGAATCCAGTTATGCGTCTGCTCACCATCATCCTAAACATGCCTTCTCCAGCTTCAGCCAAGCACGCATTGCTTTCAAGCTCAGCTGGCTTCTGCTTGGATGTCAATTTGCATTTTAGTGGCAAGGGCAGAATGGGTTACTTCTCTTTCTTGATAGAAGAGATAGAAGAGATTCCTTTCTCTGATATCATTATGAGGTCAAAGTCAGCCATAGCTGACTTTCTTTTTTTCAGAATCATGGCTAACAACTAAGTAGCCTCCACAGCCAGCATGTAGCTTGGCTAAGAAAAGAGTACTTCTCATTAAACAGCTCTCCGCCCCTCATACCTCTTCAAGATAGTTTCTTACTTGAGCCTAGACCTGTACAGTCAGTGCCTAACAAGATGAAGGTGGTCAGACAGCTCAGAATCTGTGGCATCTGCCCATAATATACTCTATAAACAATTAACTTTCAAAATGTTCCACTTACTATTGGACATATAGTTATGACAGAAAGCCTCATCGTGAAGTGTGACCCAGTAGTACTATTTAAGGTAGCTAAATAGAAAGTACTCACTTGAACAGAGCAGGTCCAAACACAATGGCTAGGTTTTCCAGAGTCATGAAGTTCACTGCACTGTATGTTGCTACCTTTAACAGGAAAGCAGACAGGAACTGAAGAAGGTTTTGATGAGCTTTGGGCAAGCAGCTGAGTAACTGTCTCAGGCTCTCTATGCATTCTGTTGTCTGGATTTTGAGTTCTAAGAGAAAAAAAAAAAAAGTTGTCATGACATGGATATTCCTAATAATAACAAAATCTCATCATAGACATTATTATAGCTCTAAGAAAGAGGGAAGGTTTTAAAACATATTAGAGCATAGTAAAGAATAAATATGTTCTAAACAAAGAATTTGTATACTAAATTTTAACAACAATTTTCATACATTAATATTTAAGTACCATGGATTTTTCAGATACTGAGTTTTATATACACTCTTTCTGCTTTTCTTCCCGTTGACAAAAATCATCTAGCACTTGCTTCTTTTTTAATGGAATTGCAAGCAATAGTCATGTGCCTGAATCCTTAAATCTGCCTTTAAAGATGATACAAGATCGTCAGCCTTGACTCTCCCCAGAGATTTTACCCATGCTGAATGATTCTCATTAAGAGCAATAAGACACTGTACCCTTTCATCCCCACATCATCTTCATTTCCTGATTAATTGGTAGCTCTGTGTCTCAAAACATTTTTGCTCTATAAATATGAAACTGTAGTTACACAAGAAATGCTTAAAAATTTAAATTGGGAATACTTATCATTTTCTTGACTCTTATTCTTCAAATAAGAGTTACAAGGCAGAAAATGGATTCACAGACAACTTTATTTGACCAGCAGTCCAGAATTAGTATGATAAAGTCTCCTGGTTATTAGACCTGAGATGACAGCACTGCTCAATAACTGGCAGCTGATGCTCATATTTGCCACAGATCAGCAAGACACATCTGTGTAGCTTTGATATTGTGAATAGCAAATCATGCCCTAAGGGGCAATTTTAGCCCTGAAAATACATTTCATAAAGGCCAAGACCTGTGGTGTTCAACCTATTAATGAGAGATATGGAAAAAGGGATGGGGGGTGGAGGGGAAAAACAAAACAAAACAAAACAGCAGGGCTGTTCAGGATAGTCAAAACAAGGTGCCTGTGAAAACCTGCAGATCGAAATTCCTTCCTTTTTTTTTTTTTTTTTTTTTTTTGGTAAACCCGTAAATAACATGGGACTTAGTGGATGAAGTTTGATCTACCCCAGAAAATCCACTTATTTGTATGCAAACACCTGAATTAGTTACCACTCAAAATCACTGGACAGATTCGTCTGAACGCATTAGCTCAGCTATTATAGACATGAATAGGGAACTAGACAGTGTATTGCTGTAGGTACTCATCTTGGCTACATTTTGAATGCTTCATGCTGCTCCACACACTGCTGTCCAAGATGACTATAAGAAAACTAGTAAAAAGTACTAAATAGGAATAGATATGTACCAAAAGGCTCCTGTACAAGGGAAGATTAAATAGAGGAAGATGCTTCAGCTTGGAAAAGAGAGAAAGCAGGCGGTGGCTATATAAAGACCCAAGTAGCATTGTGATGGTGATTAGATTAAAAATAAAAGTGTTCTCAGTAATGAGTGAGGTATCCAATTTAAAAAGAAAGCATGCAGAAGAGGTACTTTCTCAAAGAACAGAGGACTGGACTTCAGAATGCCTTGCCACAGGATGTTGGGGAGTCCAAAAGCCTTAATGAATTCAAAGAAAGACTATAGGCAAGTTCATGGAAGACCAGACCATCAGAAGAAATTAAACATCCATCTCATGTTAAGGAAACTTAAATCTTTGCTTAGGGAAAGGTGTAATGAACATGTTACCTGTCACTGTCAGAGAAAGGACAGAAACTTAGAAGGTGCCCATTCTGTACCTTGGAAAGTTTTCAGCAAGCCAGAACCGATGTTGTCCGGAAAAACAGCCACTGGCAGTTCTTTCAGAAAGAGTTTCAGGAGACTGGCCACAGAATCAACGTCTCCATCATTAATAAGGTCTACTTGTTCTCCTTGATTGTATTTCTGCTTTAATTCCTTGATTTTATTTACTGAGCCACTGATTCGAAATATACCAACATGCTCCAAACCTGTTTAACAAGAAATATGAAACAGTAAGCAATGGCTGCATTACTATAACTGTGTGATTAGAACTGGATCTCAAAAAGCTAGAGCTCCTCTAAGAAAGCACAATAACTGTAAAAAATAAACTTTTCAACAGTTAGAGCTGAAAAGTACAGTTTAACAAAGAATAACAGTTTTCAGAGACCAAAAAGAGAAAACATGACCTCACCAAATACTTCTAGGTACTCCACCATCTGTGTCACAAGAAAAGGAACTCCACATTGTGTTGCATCCTGTATGAGGGTTTCCAGAGGAACACCAAATGTGCTTCCTTCTCTGCTGAACTGTAGATCTGGTGAGACTTTAGTTGTTGTGTGCCTGACTTGAATAGAAGATAATGATTTCTGGGGAATAAAACCAGGTAAGTGATAAGCAGAAACTGTTTGTTTGGGGTTGTTTGTTTTGTTGTTTTTTGTTTTTGTTTTTGTTTTTTTTTTTTTATTTTTTATTTTTTATTTTTTGTTGTTGTGGGTTTTTTTGTTTTTTTTAAGGTCTACATCTTCAGCAAAATTATTGTCCTCATTATAGCATCTTAGTACAGATTTTACTTCTACCGCATTCTCTTAAAATACTAATATCATTATTCTTCTGTAGAGCTGAGACAGGACCTGCGATGGGGTAAATCCTAATAGAACCTATTCACACGTACTTTCAGAGAAAATGGGGTTACCAGGTCAAGGCAGATGTCCTGTTTAGGACAGGGAGAGGTCACTAAACCCATTCCCTCAAGAAGAGCCTCAACAGTCAGGAAAAAGGCTGACCAAACACTGGTGCACAGCCTTCTAACCCCATGATACTTGTGAATTTCTACCCAATTAATGAAGAAGAAAAAAACAAAACAAAACAAAACAAGCAAGATTCAAGATTCATGGAGAAGCCAGAAGAGAAATTTAAGCAGCAGTCATGGTACGAGCCATGAGGGTTCCCATCTGCTTACCTGGTTATTCTGAATTTCTTACCCCAATAACCAATGCAAAAACATACGTATGACATCATGAACAACCTGCGCTCAGGAACTGCTTTTTCATCTTGCTAGGATGGAGAGGCTGCTCAGTACGTGGGATATCACACTGGGTGCCCACAGCCCAGGGCGGGCTGTGGGGCTGAGGGACCTCAGTGAGGGGAGCCCGGGGCTGCCCAGCCCCTCAGCAGCGCCTCAGGGGGACGTATTTAAGAAAGGGGGAAATTCTGCCTGGCCATGAGGAGCCCTTGATCCTTTATCCTCTTCCCCTCCTCTTATACCCCTCTGCTTTGCCTCAGAAGCAGGTGACATTACCCACTGTGCTACATTTTGTCCTCATTTTCCTATCAGGCAGGCTACACTCACAGTCACAAAAGAAAGGACTCATTTCCACCGCACAATGAGAGCAGCAGTCTCAAACCAGGAACACCTGGAGGTACTAGTTCTGCATCAGGAACATTAAAACAATATCTGCATTTCATATTAAAGGGCGATTTTAATTTTTTGTAGCATTATCCCAACACAATCTAAAACCACTCTTCTTAAATGTTTTTATTACTATGTTTTCAGAAGGAAAAAGGAAATACTTTCCTATAGATCTGTAGCTGAACCACTATAGAAAAGCTGTTTTTCAGCTCAAAGTGCACACCTTCAAGTAAATCAACAAGCCAGAGCTCAAAGAGGCCATGTCCAGCCACACTGCCATGGCAAATGCGCACAAACATGCGCTGAAAGACCTAGACTCCATTTCACTCTTTCAGTTCAGAAGCAGGCTTAAAATGTGATGTTAATGCTAAAACATAAATAATTACCTAAAATACACCAGTATTAGGATGTACCAAACATATTTTACAGCATTTTTATATATAAGCCACAAGGTGTTGAAAAAACCCTCTGAAGTATCTATGATATGTTGCTCTATATGCTTCTTCCTTTCCCCTTCAGATGCAGCAATTGGGTTGGGGGAAGAAGCACAGCCTTCTCAGATAGAAGAAAAGATGTAAGAAATGACTCAAGAAGCCAGATTTAAGTTCACTTACGCAGATTGAAAGGGAGGCACCTGCTCCCATATTAGATTGCAGGAGAGTGTCAGTATTTCAGCTGTGCTACTCAGAAGATACCATCACCTTTCTTCCCCTCAGAAAGCCACGCAGTCTGGCCAACGCTAACTGCAGCCATTTAGCTGTTCCTCTGTAATTAACTTATAGCATAATTGCTAGGCATCATCTTAATCAGTAGTTTCCCTCCAGATTTTGTCAAAGGTAGAAATTAACTGCCAGCAGAAGCGGATTCCCCGTAGCCTCCGGAGGCAGGTTGCACAGGCTGTGTTACCAGCCGACGTTTCCATGGCACCTAACACACACAATAGCACAGCTTCCTGAAGCACTGATGGTGTGCTTGATATTTACTTTTGAGGGAGTTTTTTCAATGCAAGTTTGCAGATATTAATACCACATGCTGTCCACTCAGCCTGCTAGAAGCAGTAAGATATTTTCAGATGGCCTGTAGAGCATACGTATGATAGATACACATTTATATAACGCCTGCATAATCATTTTGGTAAACATAGAAGCAAGAATCCATCCAGACTTTGAAATACAGAAGATGTAGATACTGTTAAGCCCAACATCTTCTATTATAATTTTTTCAGATACAAAGCCTTCTGTGGGAAATAAGACACAATGAAACAAGTAATGTTGCAGATAAATTTAAGTTGGGAAATTCTTAACACAAATTTGGTAGGTATATACAAAACAAAACCAAAACACACAAGGCAAACCCCCCACAAAAACAGGTACTGAGTCAGACCCCCTTGGTGGAGTACTAGAAAAGCAGGAGTCACTCTATCAACACACTGGACCGCTGGTTCAACACAGATAGCAGAGAGGATTCCCTCTTCCTTAGTAGAGTGAACACCACTTAAAAAATAGTGCAGATTTTTAGCTCACTTACCTCTCCAAAAGATCCCACTACGAGGTCTGGAAATGCTATGGTTTAAGGCTTTCTTGCGTGACAATTTGAGCCTTTCCTGCCCACCTGGCCTGAGAAGAGACCTCACAGATGTGACTGCTTTGCTTTCACATTAGGGCATGCCAACCCCCACCACCCAGGTGCAGCAAAATCCCTAGTGAGTAGGGTTCATGGCTGGACCAAAATTCCTTGCTGGCTCCAGGTCTGTGCTTCCCACCCCTCAGAAAATTACGCATTTACCCTGTTGTGCACCAGGAGTGGCTGTCTGACTTAGCCATCCCAAGGGGCATTTAATCCCTTACTCCACAGCACACAGGCCATTCCCACAGCACAGCTGACTCTCCCCAAGCCCATTTTCGCCAGCGATGTACAAAGCTCAGCCCTTTCCTCCCACACCACTGCTTCCCCCAGCCCCCTCACCTGCTCTGCCCGTGGGCTGAACTGGGGGCAGCTCCCACCTTGCCCGGCAGCCCGGCCTCCCCCAGGTCAGCAAGAGAGGGAACCCCACCATGGCTCCCTGCTGCCGCCTGCCCCGCAGCCTTCCCAACATCCCTGGCAGGGGCAGCCTGGCCTCGTCACTGCAGACGTGTTCCACCTGGGTCCCTCACCACAGCTGCAGCTGCTTGAGGGGGCCTGTCCCTGCCCTGACCCTCCAGCACCACCACCCTACAACACCGGCCACTTCACAGCCTGTTTAAAGCTGTTGGGCCCACAGGCAGTGCCAAGGCCGATGGTGCTGTGCCCACAACGCTGCTCCATATACAGCTGACTGTTAAAAAGAGAAGAAAATGCGTTGGTCCTCCCATACCCCATGGTGTGACTGCCCTCTGTCACAGCCGGGGCGTTTTGGTGTGTGACATCCCCTCCCTACTGCATTCAAATCCCCTGCCCCGCCACTGCCCTCCAGCCACCATAAACAGCGCTTTCCCACCCTCCATGCCCTCACATTCTTAATCTGTGTGTTTGCAAGGCAGGAGCGGCTCCACCACCTTCTCTGGGTCCCTTTGGGACAGACAAAAGGACAAGGCACTCAGAGTCACCAGTGCCCCAGCTAACCAAGCCTGTGGGCTGGCAGCAGTTTGCTCCCTGCAGAGAATCAGCTCACAACGAGGCCTGTGCAAAAACAATTATAAAATAAAAAAATCAACAACTCTCTAACACTTAGTTCTCTGCTACACAGCACATTTCCACCTTCCATCTTAGCAGATGTCATAGGAATCATCCTGCTGACGTGTCAGCCTCCTGTGCTTCAGCTGAACATGTAAGCTCCAGGCAAATATATTTTAAAGCAACAAATTCTCTGCCTGAGCAGCAAGCACAGGGTTTTTTTAATTGGGTCATCACAAGGCAAACAAGGCAGCAGAGGCTGCAATCAGCCTCTTCATCTCTACTGCTCCTCTAACTGCAATTATTGAAGAATTTGTTTTCAAATCCTGCTTGCCAAATTCAGCAAGGCTTGTGGAAAATTAAGTTCCCCAGAAACCCTGCAACAGCTAGAGGGCACACAAGCCTTGCCAGAGATGTGGTCCTGCAAACCTCACCTCAGACACAGCAAGGAGGGCCAAGCCCTGGACAGGATTTTCCTTTTGTATGAAATATCACAGTTCAGAGGGGTGCTTTCTCCTCGCGTTGCTGTTGTACAAAGAGCAGAAGGCCGCAGGCAGCACAAATTAAACATATAACTGCTCATACTCTGTAGCTGCAATTCAAACTCTTCCTTGACAACCTCTGGATCAAAGTCAGTCCCTGCAGGACTTCAGCTATACAAATGGAATGTGTGGTACTTTAAGCAGCCACCCTGACTTCAAGGGCCGTGTCTAAATGAAAACCAAAACTTCTGGTCTCCCAAGCCTGCCGCCCAGGGGAAGGCTTGTGAGGAATGGCAGTGCCATGGCCTGGGCCGCGTGAGGGGCTGGGGGAGCACTGGGGGGTGCTTTTGAACTCTCTCACCAGGGCATGGCCTCCAGCTACTGAAAGGGCTGCTTTTGAGGGCTGCTGATGTCTCAAAAAGAGAGAAAAAAGAATAAACATGAAAGGAAAACATAAAAGTTTTGTTTTCTTTCTTAGAAAACAAGTGCTTTTACAGAAGCATTAGGAACAACAGGATCCCTGTGAGAGAGGGCAGAGGTAAATCCACTGTCAGCAGCAGTAAAAAACAATAGCAGCCAGAAAAAATAATTAACTGAGGCTTCACGGTTCATTTCATTTTTCCATCAAAGCTGCAAGCAGCCTGTTCTGCTAACCCAGTGATCTGTGTCTCGGCGTCAGGAGGCTCCAAGCATCCAGCCAAATAGGAAAGGAAGCCCTTCTTGGTGGGCAGGAGCCGAGCAGCCGGAGTGCGTGCCCCGCGGGGAGGCCGCGGGGGGGATGTGGCGTGGACAAGCCGTGCCGCTTGCCCGGCCGTGGTCCAGGTCCAGCTGGAGGGGCTGCCGTAGCTCCGGGTTAGAAGTAAACACTGGGGAAAGCAGCCCCGCTGATCCCAGCTGCAGCCTTTGAGCACCGGGGGCTCAGCATCAGAGCAGAACTGTGGGGTTCGTAAATAAACTCATAAAGCTTGACCCGAAGCAAAGAAATTCAATCCAATTGCAACTGCTAGCCAGCCCCTCCATGACATGATCCTCATTAACCAGTGACCACTTCAAAAACAACTTTTCAAGGATATGCAGGCATACAATGCTGATTAAAACCGATCAATACTATATATTTTTCATTTAAAGCATTGTCCACTATAAATGCCATGTTTTGGTCACACTCCTTGTCTTCTGGTATCTAACATCCTAAAATATAATTTGTGATGCCTTGATTTTGATGTATTTAGAGTGTTTAGGTCTTTTTTCTTGTTTTTTTCAGGTGGATAACTGCAGAGATGAAAACCTCTTTGAGTCTGTCAGAAGGTCAGATAACAGCATCAATACAAACTACTCAGCTCATCACTAAATTTGTCTCATCTGTAGTAAACACTTCAGACCCTCTGCGATTGCTCTGCTGGAGTGGCTAAATTATACTGTTGATACAGGAAGATTATGAACTGACTGAGTTGTATCCAGAACACTGGACATTACAAGTTCACATAATCAACCTCTAGGTCACTTCAGCTGTTTTAAAAACCTTTTCTTCCCATATATCAAAATAAATGCCAGCCTGGTGGAGGAGAAGGCCACGGGGTAGCATCCCACAGGACCTCACAGCTGACGCTGTTGCTTTTTGCCGGCAAATCAGCACATGTGTCCCGGCCAGCCAGTCAGCACCCCGCTGATGTGAGACCCACAGCGTAGCACGCCGTCTCTTGCCCACCCCAGTGCTGGGGAAAATGTTGGGTGACAAGGGTCAGAGAGACACTGTGGGAGCTGAGGGAGGAGGAGAAGGCACCGTGAGACAAGAGAGCGTACGAAGCTGATGTTGTAGCAGAGGATATAGGACTCCAACACACTGTTCAGAACTGCTTTGAAAAACAGAGTTTGTTTTGGGTGGGGAGCTCAGAGAAAAGTCACTGGCATAAGTAGGAACGCTATTGCTCTGGCTTTGAAATTTATATGACTTTTTAAAAATAGGATAAAACACCATGAGAAGCCCACAAACCCATGCCAAGCGAGTGTGTGCTGACCTCTTACACTTCAGAGCTGACAGTTTCAGTAAGTAGAACTGGAAATGCCAAAACACCCCAGAGATTTGTCTGAAAAGAAGGAAACCAGAAAAATTGTATTATCTACTCCTTGGCTTAAAATGCTCAAAACTGTCCCATTCAGGAATGTATTTTTTCCTTTCTCTGTGTAATCTTTTTGGAACAGCACGATCATTTGGCTAAATGCACCATCTCAGCCTTGACAACCCTTGTGCACTTACCCCATAAAAGCATCTCTGAATTATGAAAAACCATCAGGGCCAGATACACGCGGATGAGTTTTCATGAGGTGAACCTGTCTTACCGGCTTTCGAAGCAGGTTTTCATTGCCACCTTAGACACACAGCACTTGTACATTTTATTCCCATTCATCATGAGCCACTTTAAACAGGAAAAATTAGTAAGTTCTGGAAAATTACACCATTTAAAGTATATGGAGCTTGCAGAGAAACTATAGTGAGTCTCAAACAAAAGAAAAAGAATGGAAATATGAGCTACAACCAAGACAGAAGTACAGATGGGGAAAAGATGCATTTAGTATTAGGTAATCATTGGCAAGAAATGCTACATGAAAAAATGGTATTTCTGTTTTAATCACTACTGTATCAATATACATTTTCCTGCATCATAGCTGCTAAAAGTCGTAGTACAGCCTTATAGGATGGTTGCCACATAGCCCTCATCACAATATTTTGACTGCCAACTATGTCTACTCACCAAGCTAAATTATCAGAAGGGAAGAGTTGCTGTCCTGACAAGAAAGCAGCTTTACCCTGCTGCTACATGCATTGCCTTTCACTCTGTTTACGGAGAGAGTACACGCAGGCCACAATCCCTCCTGCCAGGCAAGCTCTTGCCAGCTGCCAGCAGCATCCC